ATGGCATGCACCAGCTGATTGAACTCTTGGTGCCATATTTAGCCACAGTAACATCTGTTGCAGAAATACTTAGTATAAGTGTGTTAAGTAAAAAAGACAATAGATTCAGTAAAACGTAACTTGAAAGGTGATTAGTAAAAACTAAAACAAAATTGTCTTTATCCTATTGTTCTGTAATTAATAACTGTATGCTGAGTATCAAACCAGGGTGGTGAAATGAACAAACTCAAACAGCACCTCTTCCTCTTTAATGTAGGAAGCAAACAATAAATTATCTCTGCCTGTTATTTCAGCACTTCCCTTAGGATCCTACTTATTGGCTTAGTGAAATCCACTGAAAGTCGCATCTACTTGAGTTGCTGCTTAATGGATTGAATCCAACATGGTGCATATAATCCACATAGTCACACCTAGCACCTCAAGCTCCTCTGTGTACAGTAACTCAGTGATGTCGAGGTTTATGTTTAGATAGACACGGTAAATCAAAGTGGAGTGGTAGAAAGTAGGAGAGTGTGCAGTGTTGAATTAGGCAGAGTTATTTGGCATTTTTTGGAGTAAATGAAAACAACAGCAGTTGTAGTAGTTGGCATTTGTGCTGTGGATACTTGTTGGCATGATGAAGTCGAGCCTTGCATCTACTTGAACAAGCAGTGGAGGAGCAGAGGCAGAAACAGCAGCAGATAGCTGAGTCCTGGCAGCTGGGAGGCGAAGCTTGTCACATTGCAGTCGTCACTGTAGCAACAGTGAACTCTGACACCTGGTGCCCTGTAGCCCTGGCTGTTGGCCTGACTGCAGAAAGACTTGTAGGAGCATGACTTCATCACCCCACCTGACAAAACAGACAGAAATAGAAGTCAGTTACACTGGTTTTAGCTGCTGTCTTACACGGAACTACTGATTTATATCAAATAAACTTGTTCAAATAATGAAACTGCCCTGGCTAAATGATTCATAACGCTTTAGTCTCATTTTGATTTTGACACTTTGCCTGTGGGTGTCCAGTAAACTGTACGTACACGATGTACCTGACACCACGGATTTAATTTGAGGAAACTGGTGCATCCACGATGTGTCATTCACAGACAGGATGATGGTTTCCGCTGTTGGCCCACTTTTTGATTATTAATAAGGTGTATTAAACTCCTGCCTTGTGCAGGTTTAAATTAGGAAAATGAGTTAACTTAATTTTGTGAGGAGGAATCGTCTTGGTGCCACCAACACATGGCGTCCTAATTAAGGATATTGATCGAGTAGGAGTAGCAAAGCTCTTCATTCCCTTAAAAGCTTCAGACCCCCTACTGACTGAGATGTGTCTCCAGACGGCAGCCTGTCCTCCATTAAACACACACACAAACACACCCACACAGCCTGGTAAAAATAGAGCTTTTTTTATCTTTATTGTTGGTAGCGAAAAGGCAGAAAGTAAACCAGTTTAAAAGAAAAGGCTACTACACTGTCACTGTTGGACTCACTGTCATGGCCCACCACCACAGCGCAGGCATCAGAGTAGCTGGGACAGGATTTGGAACCTTGTCGGTTGCAGTCTTCATTATTGGAGCCCATACAGGTATAACAATGCAGAGCCTCACCTGAAGGAAAACAGAGAAGAAATGCTCCTATAGCACTGACTAAAGCCTAAAACAGTACAATCAAACACCATGGCATGTGGACAGAAGACAGTGTAGGCATCTCTAGTTTTATCTTGGTGTTCTAGAGACGTGTAGCATCGAAGATGAAAGAAGATTCTGTCTGTTTTTTTATTTATTTGATTGTTATTTTATTAAAAAGTACAAGAATAATATAAAACTCAAAGATCAAGAATATGTGAATAATTTTAAGTCCCATAAAACCGTATAAATTCCTGTGTTCTTCTTATACCGACCTGATGTCATTGCTTCAGTTGATGGGAAATGTTTATGATGCTAATGTGACAGTGAAAAACTGTCCTGTGTCAGATGTCTTGACTTCTTCTTTCAGGTAATGCTGCTAATGTCGCTGATGCTATGTTTGTCCTTTAAAAACCCATATTTAGAGTCAGCTGCAGGTCATTCTCAAGACGGCCGGCTGCAGCTGCTCAGGCACGGTAAACAGCAGCATTACATTGGGACACAGTCAAAGCAACTCAGTTCCATTTATCATGAATTCAGAGCCCCAGCTCCTTTATGGAGACAGGATCTATGGGTTTGATGGTAACTTCACATCTGGCTGGCTCTGATGTGTGATGTCGTTTAACAGGAACAGTGAGAGTAAAGTGAAGAGAGAGAACTAATTACTCCCTTTCTTCACACAAATCTTCCCAAATAAAGCAAAGAATTAAACGGGTGCCCTCAGATTTAGAGACACATGTTCCTAACCTTCAGCTAAAGCTTAAGGAAGGCACTTCAGCACATAAAACACTTCAATATCTGTCTAAAGCTCTCCAGAGGAAGCAGTAGCTGACCTTTGAAATATCACTTCAACGCTTCCTTTTGAAAACCCCTATCCGTCTCCTAAATTCTGAAATGGCCCTTCAGAAACTGCCTTTAATGCTTCTTCTTAAGAGGATCAAACAGAGCTGGACTTATAGGAATCACAGAACGCTTCAAACATTCTGTACAGCAGCACATCTCTTGTTTTGGCCACCAGAATAACCTCCTTTAACCCCCTGGATGTGTCTTTTATCATTTAGTTATGATGGCAAAAAAGTTGCACAGACTCACAAAGTGTTTTTTCCATAAACTTATAGACCAGGCAGGTGAATTTTTTCTCCTCAAACCTGCAACTCAAGTCAAATCAAATTACTGAAATGTCCGACTTTCACTGACAAAATCATAGTTTTCACAATAAAACAAAAAAACAAGCAAACAGCAAACCATACATTTTTGTACAGATTGCTATGCCTTTGTACGAGTTGGTCTATTTTCTTTGCTGCTTGTGTGCTCTTCTGTGTGTTGACATGGCATGTAAATGTCCCCTGCTGTTTGAGGTTGACCCCAATCTATCCCCACAGCACAGCCGCTCTACACACATGCTATGAGTATTAGCCTCCAGGCCTATTAAGAGATTAACTGCTGGGATTGCATGCTAGTTACAGTCTGAAGGGAGGGAAAATGCAGGAGAATTACCAGAGAAATTAACAGCAATTAGCAAACTTGGCATAAATAGAGTCGTAAGTGAAAAATAATCTTTTTGGAGTTATTACAAATGCCAGGCATTTTCTGAGAAATAAAGAACTGTAGCATTGTCTTGTCCAACATTTCCTGATGTCTGTAAGCAGAACCAGTTTTAACTCAACAGGTTCATGCCTCTCATGAAAAGACTAAAATACAGAAAGACAATAAGAGTTAAATATTCTTGGAAAGTCAAGAGTGGCCAGGGAGAGGAGCACCTGAAGGGAGACACCAACCAGGTTCAAAGACAGGTGGACAGAGGGTTGAGCAGTGATCCAATAGGAGGAAAGGATAAAGGGAAGACGAAACAAGAAGGGTTATAGATATCGTCCTTACTGTTGGTTGCTAGCAGGACCAGGGAAAGCAGGAGCAGCGGACAGGAGTGGACAGCTCTCATGATGCTGGTGGTCCTCAGTCTTCCTGATCACACAATGAAAAGCAGGTTGTTTGCTCCTAAAGCCCCCTGAGCTTAATCTGAGCTATACGATGAGCTAATATCCCCCTCCTGCACCAACCAGGAGATTACCTGCGCCTCCACTGGGGCCCACAGCTCAGTGCTGAGTGTCAGTGGTTGCTTCTTCTGGCAAAAGACGTGCACTACGATTCATCCTGCATCTTTCACCTTACTACTGTGTTTTAGCCACACCCATCCTGAGTCTGGCTCTTCCCTTTTCTTGTCCCTGTCTCCACCTGGTCACGCCCTTACAGCACCCTGCTGCACCATGACTGACCACTATGAAACTGATCTCTGAACTTAACTGACACTGTGGCCCCACAGGTGTCCGTTTAGTTTCTTCAGTGCCACGTTCATTTGGCACAGGATGACTGTCCTTTGATTTTGTATCAGTATTTTGTTGCTAATTATGTAGATATGCCATTGTTCCAGAGGGATGTTCTTGGTATATGTTGCAGATACTTCAGTCTGATTTTGGAAAGGTTAACTCTTTGTATCTAGAGATACAATCAGACTGTGCATTGGTTTCAAGAATTGCAATAAATCATCTCAGTATGGCTGTCATCTTTCCAAATGATACTGCTTTTCTAAGTATTTTTTCTTTGGTTCCTAACCTTGGTTCCTAACCTTTTGGCCAACATACCCCCGCATCCATGCCACTCATCACCACTCATCCTCTTCTAAATATGTTCTGTCCAATGGATTTCAAACTGCACGTCATTTAACATTATTTATTATTCAAAAGTGGAAACACGTTCAGTATTTTTTTTCATATAAGACTGTGTGATCCTGGAATTGTTGGTTTAGGTTTGATCTGGAAGTTTGCATTCATGCTACTTCCACAAAAATGTCTCCATCCTCTTGCTTTCTAACTAGTTTTCACACACTCTCGATCACAAAACTTGGTGTGAAGATACATCCTGTGCAGTTGGGTTATTGTAGCTGGGCTATAATATAATATCCTAAAGATCAGCCTCACAGCAATTTGTATTTCCTCCTGAACACTAAAATGTGGATAAATGTGTGTATGTATGTACATTTGACTAAATCATCATGTCTGTTCTTTCAAATTAGCATCTTTACTATCTGGCAACTGCAATGTACTTCCTGTGGTATATCTACCCCTGACTGGAGAAAGTAAGTAAGAGAAGAGGAAAAGTAAAACTCAAAAATAAAATTTTGTGATGCATCATTTAAACATAAGCAGGATCACCTATGCTTGTGCATCTGGTTTCCTGACACTGACTGGAAGCAGGATATTGTCAAATAATCATAATCACCTCTTAATCCCGATTTATCAGTGGTCATGCCATTAATTCATGGAGTGCGATGTTTCAAATGGGGGCTCATTGTGGGAAAACATGTTGTGCAGGTTAAGAAGCAGAGTAAAGTCAGACTGCTGTATTGCCATCTTTTATTGCACTTTGTAAGCAGATGCTGTACAGTAGCTGTGCAGAGAAGTTATTCCTCAGTGTGACACAACGACCATAGCAGGACCAGGACATATCCATCCAAAATGAAATTACTCCTAGTCACAACTGAATACAGTCACGATTAGTTTGCTTTATATCAAAATAAAATCCAAAAAATAAAGTCCCACGATTTCATCGAGAAAGCTATGACAAGTATGACAAATATCTACAAGGTTACATGAGGGAAGCGGACTGAGGATGACGGAATAACTATCAAAAATGCAGATACTTGGAGTTTCCTACAGTATATACAAACATTAACATTACAAGTTTTTCTCTCTCTCTCACATGCAGTAAGCTATTGTGATAAGTTTGTGTTCTCTTAGTGGTGTATCAACATTTCATGAATGAATCTAACTCTCTGGTTCTCTTTTTCAAAGTCTATCGTTCTCTTGTATAAAGAGGAGACAACAACAGGAGTGGTTAAACAGTCTTCTCCCTCAATGGCTGTCATGGCAAAAACATTATAGATAATTTAACAATGCGCTCACTTTCTCATTATCATACACACACCCACACACACACACACACACAGACACACTCATTAGTGATATGGTAAATTCTCTAAAACTTTAAACCAGACCCCCCCCGATACAGTACGATACACTGACACATCAAAAATGTACAGAGTGATTAAGAGGAAGCCATTCCTGTGGATCCTGTATACACAAAGTCAGTAGGAAATATAATCCCAAGGCCACTTTGGCCTCAGATGTCTGTCAGTCCTTGAAAGAGTGATAAATATTACTGATCTGCTTCATTTTCCAAGTAGTTCTTCTATAAACACAAAATCTTTTCTTTCAGATTTGGCCTAGGTGTGGCGTGGCCGCTAACTCCTCCCCATCTTGGCGATCAGCTCATCACAGATCTTTGTCAACTCCTCGATCTCTTTGTTCTGTAAAACAAAAGTTCATTTTACAGTTTATATACTTGTTCACATGGATTTTTTCCCCTGATTTCATATCTTTTCACATCTCATCGCACCACTGACCTTTTGCTCCAAAGTGCGCTCCAGAGAGTCCACTTTCATCTGCTCCTTCCTCAGACTGGCCTGGTGGGCGGCTTGCTCCTGCTTGGCCTTCGCTCGCACCTGAGCTATCTCTGCATTGGCCCTGGAAACACAAAAGTAATACGATGAGAATCAAGGCACCTTTCCATAACTCCCATCAGCTTGGGAAGTCTTATAAAAGCACAACCTCACATCTGTAAAGCCAATACAGAATCGATCTGTACAAATTTCAAATCTATACTGTTAAATCTATAGAAACAGCTAATTACATTACTGGTCTATATCCAAACATTTCAGCTGGGCATCGAGTTATTGTGTAGGAATCGTACTGTGGTGAAACTACACAGTCAGAGTAAAACAAACTTGAGATAAAGAGAGTATGCACAGACTCACTTGTCTAGTTTCTCCTCTGCATGAATCTTCAGGGCTTGGTAGCGCTGTTCCTCCTTACGGACTCTCGACAGATACTCCTGAGCGCACTTCTTCAGCACCTCTTCATTCTGACCAGAGTGAGAAATCATTTAATTGCTTGCCATAGGGCTGTCAAGCTAAATTTTAGATGACTTACAAGGCCGGTCATGCTGAAAACACTCATTAGTTGTGAATTAGTTGTGTGTGTGTGTGTGTGTGTGTGTGTGTGTGTGTGTGTGTGTGTGTCAGTGTGTGTGTAGTAGTCACCTTGCGGAAGCCCTCCAGCACATCTTTCATCTTCTCGTAACGTCGGAAGAGGTCGGCCAGAGACTTTTCCACAGAGTTGAGGTCAGCCAAGGCCTGGTCCTTCTCCATGATCAGCTGCTGGATGGTGTGGTGAGAGAGAGACTTCTCTTTCTGGTCATCCTCTGATGGACACACACAGACACACTGTAGATCAGGTCATTATTTCTATGAACTGAAGAGTCTACAGTAATGGGCACATATACCGTTTAAAATCCAAAACCAACACATACATACAAACAAACACTTTATTTTTGATGATATATCAAAATGGATTTGTGAATTGAAATGGCTTAATAGCATTTTATACTACACTATATGAGTATTTCTGATAAACCAGTGTAGCATGCAAACAAAAACACTGATCAATGTGTGAATTAAAGAGACTATAGGGACAGAGCAGGGGGCTGGTTTCCTTTGAGCGGCTTCTACACTCTTCAGTATTATATGACAAAGCTCCCACAGTATTTCAACCCCCTCCAAGCTTTCCCTTTCCTTTCCTATGACAAGCTTAGATGTCCAACCTGCTTAATTCACTAATTCTGCATGAATGACGCAACCCTCCGTAGTAGAGAAACCAAGTGCAGACGTGCACGTAAAGGTTTCCAGTGGGAATATTAAAGGTTTTGATCACATTTTGTATAAAGTTGCACTGAATATCAGCAGCTGAGAGATCACGTAAAGGTTGGCTGAACAGAAAATGCCAAAGGATTCTGTCCTTTTTACCCATTAAAAAAAACTATGTCTCAACATACAGGATGAAATGCAAAAAAATGGACAAACAAATGTCACTGGATGAGATGAAGAAAGTGAGCACAGCTGCTCCCCCTCTTTGACAGACGGATGGAGAGATGTGAGCTGACACAAAGAAGTGAAGATCAAGTCCTTGTTACTCACCTGGCATGCCTGTCAGGGTTATCAAACAGTAAGGGGCAAAGATGGGAGCAGAACAGAAAAGAAGGGACTGTGTTAAGTCAAGCTGGGAGGGCAAGACACGTGACAGAGCCGAGTGTTAGACACGAGCAGAGACAGATTGTTCCCTTTTTTCGTGACAGTGCTTTAATGAGAATAGAAAATGAAATTAGACAGCAGCAAAAATCAAATTTTCAAGAATGTCCAGAGGTGGCGAGGAAGATGTAGGTGAATAAAGCAGGGACGTCAGCCTGCGGTGGAATTTAATGAGTCCAGAGAAGCTGGACACGAGTGGGCAGAGGTGAGCACTTCACCCTCCAATGACATCAGGATTCAGTTCACATCAGTCAAACAGGAAAGCAAGCAAACGGCAAAGCTAGCTTGTGTCAGAGGATAAAAAAAAAATACCTTGCTCTCTTAAAAATATATTTTGCTCAGGTTGCAAATAAACAAGTGCAGCAAAAAGTTGTGGCAGAGGTTGGGGACCAAAAGTAATTGATTTAAAATAAAATTTATGTGCACTGAAAAGAGAGTGGAGTAACCTGTGATCAGTAGTTGGGTCTTTAAAGCAACTGAAAACTTGTATTTTAAAGTTGAACTCACCTATCATCTGTGCAATTGTCTTCTCATACTCAGCAACAATTCTCCTACGGATGAGAAATTGTACATCATCAGTACATGGAGGGGTTTTTATCAGTATAAATATACAATCATGCAATTCATATATTTGCCTACACCAATGAGTATAGAGATCTGTCTGTCTGCCTGTCTGCTCATTAGCAGGATGTCTAAATAAAAACATTTAGCTGGAATTGGGTGGATATTGGTCATATAGCTGTGGATGTGGCACAACAGACAAACAATTTATGCTTTTGGTCATCATTTTTATATTGCACTTATATGCTGCAGGCTTCAAAAGGTCCAAGTTCAGTGAAAAATTGGCCTTCAGTTTGTTTGTTTTTCCTTTATTTATCTGCACTGTGTTGTTCCCCTCCAAGCCAAGGACCAGCAGGGCCCTATAAGGAGCCTTGTTTTGGGAAAAGCGGGTTGCCAGAGGTAAGAGGATTGATTAGCCATGCCTTCCCCTTAGCCTCTTAGCCCCTCCTTATCCTGAGCCCAATCAGTCAAATGAAGTAAGCTCTGTCTTATCCACAGTAACTGAGTAACTGTGGCCAGCTGGACCCGCACCCACCACCTGCTGACAGAGAACATGGTTTCAGTGCTGCATATCTCTATCTCCTTGAACCCCCATTAGTCACTAACAGCCATTTGTCAGACAGATTGATCATCTGTAGTCATAAATGTGAGTCTATTTAATCCCAGTTATGAGCTGCTGTCAGGCAGTTGATCCTGTATAATCCGAACAACAGCAATTTAAAGCCCCTTACCATATTATCCCACTGAGATCAAAGTTTTAACTCTTTCAAACTTAAAAGATATCAACCACATCTATTTCTCGATTCTCCACCACTAACCCTAATACCGATAATAAGATGGACTTCTTTGACTGGCTCACCACTCTGCGGTTAAACATGGCCTCGTTTGTCAGTGTAAGCATATAAACCAATTGACGAGTTAAATGATTATAATGGATAAAGACACTAAGTGCCATGACATGGTACTATTTAACAGAAACACAGAGAGGTGTTAATCCATGCTGCTGTGTACTATATGGGTGGGACCTCATTGTGATGTAGGAGATGACAAGCCAAGGTGCTACCTCTTACCTCATCTCCACCACTTCCTGTCGGCTGTCTTCATACTTCCTCTGCCACTCCAGCACCTCTTTCTCCTTTGAAACAATCTGAGGAGGGTGATAAAAGCATCAAGCCAAGTGCGACATGTTAAGTTGAAGTACATATACAGTATTTATGACCTCTAGAATAAACAGAATTTTAAGGGCACCTCTTCTCGTGCAATTCCCAGCGAGTGGTCCAGATCCCTGGGCAGGTGGGGACTCTCCCCTTCGATGTAGCTGGTGTTGGTGGTGGTGGTCCTGGCGTACAGGGAGCTCTTGGACACAGCACTCTCTACTGGAGATGACAGGTCTCTGTGCTGCTTCCAGGAAGCAAAGGAGAGGAAGGAGAGGAAAGGAAACATAACCAGTTACAAACCGGACGGAGCTGCAGACGGGACACCCTCACCCTAGAGCCCCCACGCACATTCTCAACAGGATTCCTGAACCAAACCGCAAGGCAGCATCAAACTATATTAAAATGTACCACACAGCAAAATCAATATGTAAATGAGGCAGGGTAGTGATGTTCCTGAAGACTTGGTCAGCTGCCACATGATTGGATGAAACAGTCTTCATAGCCACAGTATTAGCCAAGTGATTGGCTGATGCTGCCCCCAGCTGAGCGGCCATGATTACCTGCTCATCACAGTAGCTTGAATGTGATTGGGTCCAGGCAAGGCAGAGGGGAAGGAGGGCAGCAGCTGATACAGCAAAGGACTGCATCATAAACAGGACAGGGAGGATAGGGTAGCAAACTGGGCAGCATGGGAAATAGATGTTAGTCTCATGTTAAAGCAAACACCACCATACTAAACTGGTCTTACCTGTTGGGGTTAGAATCATTGCCTGATTCTTTTACATATAACTATGGTGTGAGGTGAACCAGGGAATTCACATGATTTATCATTAGAAAGACTTTGGATATATTGTTGAAGCATACTGAGAGACACTACAGACCAATGTACGTATATATGCATGTGTTCATGTGACCATTGCAACTTGTCAACAGCTCCTCACACAAAACATCATGCCAAAACGCAAAAACAATCCTCGCTCTGGTGCCATTTCCGGTCCCCTCAAACTCTGCTCTGAAAGGGATTTAGTCATCCTTGGGAGAGCCGGATTATGGGAGGATTTGATGAAATGGTTGGGGCTCAGAGGGGACAAGGAGACTGAGATCCACTAATACGTGGAAAAGAGAGTGAAGTGTTTGTTCTGTCTAGGGCAATAATTCCATTATTCCACCGTGGGTAAACACTGGTCAAGTTCAGGTAACCATGGACCTCTTTTGCTTTAAGTCAGGTACTGATTGGGCTTACCTTCCCAGTTCAGTGAGGTTTCAAAAGAAACTTTAAGCAAATCATAACTTGTTTACTCGCTGCTTAAAAGAGACAATCCCAAAGACGTATCTATGAGCAATGGTGAACTGTGCTTTCGTGGTGCCATACTGCCAAACAAATTTGTAATGCATGAAATCACCACAGAGTAACTGCCACACAACCTGAGAGTCTTTGGTCCCTGGGGGCAGTTCCGTACTTAGCCCAGTTAGTGATAAAGCCTTGTACAAAAAGCACCCATCACATGTCTAGTAAACTGCAAACATTTTAGCGTCACTTTCAGGAGTGCTATAGAGAAAAATCACACAGACTTGAGGAAAAGCTACTTAATGTCAGAAAGACAAACACTACGTCAAACACAAAAATAACCCAGTAGATGTATAAACACTACAATAGAGACACTAAATGTAACTGCAGGAAACACAACTCGGATACATTTGCTCACAGGGACAAAGGACAGCTATGGTCGGCAGCAGATGGAGGGAGACCATAAAAAAGGTCTCAGACTCTCTGTATGATGGATGTCTGGGGTCTACAGGAGCTAGAGTATACAGTGCAGTCTGTAGGTATCTGGACAGTTGCTTTGGCTCTTTACTCCAGCACTAGGAGGGTAAAGTGCTGAATTTCATCTTTAATTTTAGCACGTTTATATCTAAACTGGGTAAACAGGGCAGGAAAGGAGCCCTATCACTTGCTGGACTGTATGGAAATTGGTGGTATTTTCTGTGAGCCTCACACTCTTAACCAGTGTAGATGTGAACACCTTCAATCACCTTTAAAGCTGAAAGTCAGAACTTTAACCTCAGGGTTGTTTCAAATCCAGTGTGCTCTGAGCCACAAACAACGAAAAATGTGTTCATGACCAAATTATTGGACTGCACTGTAATCGGATGAAAAGGCGGACAGATCACACGGGTATAACGTTCCTCTTACTTTGAATAGGGGCGAACCGTTGATATTCCACCGCCGAGTGCTGGGTTTCTTGAGTCGAGACTGTAAAATGTGTGGGACAGCAGCATGAGACATGGAGGGAAAGAGGAGTGGGAAGCGCCTGCCCTGCTCCAGCTCTTACGAGAGTTTTTCCACTGCCCATATACTGCAGATTCCCCGCTGATCAGTAAGCAAAGCAAAAAAAAAAAAAAGAAAACTCTCACCTCTCACTATTCTTATATCCAGACATATGCTGTTTCAACAAAAACCTTCCAACCAGCAAATTCCCAAGTTCTATCTAAAATGAACACTGGCACCTACCTGATGTAACTGTTTGTTAGTGCTGTTAGTCTGGGAAAAGGACCAAATCACAGAGCAAGAATGTGACTGGGATTTAAGGTGATGATAGCAAAGTATCAACAAATACATCTGGAGGAGTTACATCTGTATAACTCCTGCTGACATTAACTCTAATGTGAGACATTCCCAGTCACAGTCATGCTCATGTACGTCTCTCATGAACAGACAACATGGATGTTGCCCAACATGCATAATAAAGGCAAGGGACTAAGAATGCACAGTACTCTGTTCCTGAGGAGTCAACCTGGGGGAGCTCGCTGCTAGTCGGGGATGGGAGCTGGACGCGTTAAGCCATGTTAGAGATTTCACATGTAGGGACTGACGAAGTGACTGCGGATGTAGTGGCGCGGCCACCATGTTGATAAGGCCATGGGTTCACAGTCACACTCAGAATGGTATGTTTAGGGAAGGGGATAGGCAGGCTGAGACACACTCATGCACACACTCTGCAGCCACACACACATGTGCCTTTACACACACCTGCTATTATGCAACCGCTCATTCAAGATGCCTCTTTGGTTTTTGCACAGACACGCTCACATACATACAGGCACGCACACACAAATACAGCAGGTGCAGGCTGACTCAGCGCAGTACCTGGGGGGTTACAGTGGAGAGGGAGGGGCACTGAGAGATGTTTTTGGCTACCTGCAGAGCCTCTATCCTCAGGGCGGCAAGTACCAGCTCCTCCTGGGCCGCATTCATGGGGGGTTGGGGGTATTGATGGAATTCAGGGGTAAGGGAGGGGGGTTGCGGCCCAAGGATGAGAGAGCAAAGGGAAAACATATAGAAAGTTGAGCACACACACTTGCTGCTGTCTATATTTCACACACCATCAATCTATTTCACACACTAAAGAACTTGTGGGTGGAGAAAACATGGGAAAATGAATACGAAGGATGTAATAAGGTGACACAACGGGAATAATGTTCATGCAAAAACACACACCATCACACATCTGGGCCACAAATGGGCCACTAAAGGCGAGACCTATGAGGTTTATCAAGAGAGGTCATGTGTGGTCTGTCAACACACCTGTAGTTTTTGGGCGAATGCGGTGGGGTTGGTCTCAGCCAGGTCAGGCTCCAGGTACTGCAGGGGGTCATCACACTCAGACAGCCTGTCTAACAGGGGCATGGCCAGGGCAGGAGCAGGGGCCTCCATGGGGCCCTGGCTAGGGGACTACAAGGGCACCAGGAGGCGTAGGCAGAGGGCAGGGAGGAGGGCAGGGGTCGGGATGGCAAAGCAAGCGTTGAGTGTTTGTTTGAGTGGCAGCATTGGGAGCTGAGTCACTGAATTCAAGCTGGAGACTTAGTGTGGCGAACTGGCTATTTGTCATCAGTGACGTTGGCTTTAATGAGAATCATGACTGATGGTCATGGTTCATGTTGGAGACTTGGCCTACATTGAAGCATGTGTAGTGTGGCACTCTGTCTCCCCCTTGTGACTAAACAATGACATGGTGTAAATGTAAATCAAAATTGACAGATTCTCTTCACATGATGGCGACGAGACACAGGAATGACATACGTGAAAACTGCCCACTGGGTGTGAATCTTTGTAAAAAGGAATTTGGCTCACCTGCTCGTCCCTCTCTGTGCTCTGTGTTCGGCTGAGTGACTCGCTTTCTCTCTTCCTGCCCTTGTCCCCAGCTGAGCCCTCAGGACCAGGCCGAGAGCTCAGCACTGGTGTCTTCATACCTGCAGTTATCTGGGCCTCCATCTCCTCGAAACTCCTGCACAGAACGAGCGACAGAAAGGAGAGAGAGAGGGAGAAAGAGGCAGATCACATGTTAATACAGGGTTAGTGAAAAACACTGCTGAGCTGCATGCATTATGCAATTAAATCATTGTGCTTTATACTTAGCAAACTAGATATACCGGTAAAGTTCTGACAGCTACTCTGTAAGTCTTCCTATACGGTGGACATACAACACATGAAATACTTAGAGTAGTAGTAGAGTGAGTTGTACCCTGTGCAGGGGGAGCTGGGCTCAGATCCATGTGCACACGAATTCTTGGTTAAACTGTCAGATACTGAATCCAGCTTCAGATACAAAGAAGGCTTCTTCACAGACAGTGGCTGTGGAACAAAATCACATATCACATGTAAAACATGCTGCTATGAGTGAAGAAAGCAAAGCAATAAAGATTAGATAAACAATCAAAATGTCAGAATAATACCAAATACTCACAGGTGAAGAGGAGCCAATCTTCTCCATGTACTCAATTTCATAGTCTTGCACTGAAGCAGAGAGACAAAACAAAGTTTTAAATGCAGAGGAACAAATGGAGAGACATTTCAGCCAGTGCTGAGCTCTGGACTGCTTTTATTGGAGGATAAGGCACGGCTCTCTGTTCTCTTTCATCTCTGACCCAGATGGGTTGAGCCAGACAGCCTCTGGGAAGAGGTGGTAATTCTAGAGGTCAGAGGGCAGTAGAGAACTGGGCCAGCAGCTATGAGAAAAATCAATAATGTTGCCAGATGAATAAAGAGTAAAGTGGCTGATTGCTGTACATGAGGCTTTATCCAAACATACGCTTTGAATTTCCTTTCAGCACAGCCTCTCTATGCTATGCTTTGATCTCTGTCGGCATTTGCTTGGGCACAGGTGGCTGGAGACACAAAGAGGGATCCACGAAAGTCAGACAGTAATGCCTCACCTAGAGTCTGATGAGGAAGACTGTTCTCATTGACGAAGGACGTCAGGTCACATGGCTGAGGGAATTCTTGTTGGTCAGAGTTTAAATCTGCATCAATGTCGTGCAGAGCTGCCCACTTATGACTGGTGGAGGAAGCCAGCTTCTCCTCGTCTGTGGCGTGGTCATCCTGTGGGTGGAGGGAGGGAGGTTCATCTGCAGGCATAGGATCCTGCAACACAAAGGAGGAGGCAGTGAGAATCAGAGGGAAGAGGAAATACAAGTAGAAAAAAAATGAGTGAGTACACATATGGAGCATTAGATACGCACCTGGGATGGGTCAGACAATGGTGATTTCTTTGGCGACCTCTTCACTCTGAAAGTATTACTGAAAAAAGGAAAAATTTCCAGTCAAGATCCAGAGTCACTCAGCATCTTCAGTGCACAATATTCACTCTCTAACTCCAAGTATATTGTATTTGCTAACATTTGTATAGTCACAAATTCTAAAATGTGAAACTGGTTGGTTAAATCTATAAATAACATGAATACTTTTGGATAAAATGAAAGGCTTAATTTGCTTAGAGCAGCATTACCATATGTGTAATAGTACAACTTACTGTAGTCTGTGTTGCTGAAATGACCAAACAGTGAAATGCTTGTAAAGAGGGTTTAATGTGTTTAGTAATTGAAGAGCGAGGAGAAGCGGTAAATGAATGTCATGTTGTGAATAGTTTACTTTCCACAAATACTGATCCCAGGCAGGAATGTGTTTAGAAATGTAGTGGGTTAGTTGGGACACTGATGAAAACATAATCTATTACTGTAGATAAACTGTTAATGGCAGCCATTTACCTTTATTACCTCAGTTTTCAGTTTATAGATCCCTTGATGCATGAATTCTCAGTGGATGTTTGTATAAGTTAGGTAGACCTTGGATAGCAATTCACAACAACTTCAAGGATGAATCATCCTTTTTCATCCTGTGAATCTAATCTTAAAGACATATCTGATAAATAAGTGTTTCATGGTTGTAATGTTGAATTAATTTTGGATGAACATGATTGGACAACAACCAGAAAACTATATATCTCTATAAAGATATGACCATTATTAGAAAGCTTTAGTTCTTTCAATAATAGCCAACAATGAACACAAGAGAGAGCACAAACTCCTGCTTTGTTATACACTGGCATGTCAATAAATACATCTATCACAAAGAAAGATTGTTTTGTCTGTTTCAGTTGAAAAGTTAATGGAATATTGTTGCCATAACAGAATTTACACTTTTGTTTTGAAAGAAAAAAGGCTGATACAAAACTACTGAAAATGGTCTAAAGAGTGACTACTTAAGGCAGAAACCATAGACTGTATGTGGAGCGGCAGCAACACAACAAACACAATCTCCATATTTGCATTAATTTCTTCGTCATTCAACAGCACCTCACTGAGCACTGCTGCACTGACCTCTAGTGGTTAAAGGTTTTAAGTCTTAAAGACTGCTGACCCTATAAACCATGATGTAATGTGTGTGGTGTATTGCAGATGGTATACTGTATGTATATATTGTGTGGTATACTGTAGAATTTCCAGCCCTTTTTAAAATTATAGTATAGTATAGAGATACATTTTGACATCAATGTAGAGTTTGTTATTTCATTTTAATAGTCTTTTGTGTGGCTGTGGTGGCTTAGTTAGTCTTTTACCTGTTTGATTATAGCTTCTATAATAGTGACCCCTTCTGTTTTCACTCTGGAATTCAGGAGTTTTACCCAGTCGGATCATTGAACAATACTAAAAATCCATGTGTGCTGAAGGATAAATAATTGTTTAGCAGTGGTGGAAAGCCATTAAGTACAAAGTATTAGGGAAATATTGTATTTCCTACTTCCTACATGTATTGGACTTTAATTTGTAAGCAAGATGCAAGATATCATTGCTATCATTGCACGTTGTTGTTCTTTTCCTCTGTGCTCTCTCTTGCTGTCTGTCTCTCTCTCTCTCTCTCTCTCTCTCTCTCTCTCTCTCTCTCTCTATCTCCCCCAACCCAACCGGTCGAGGCAGATGGCCGTCCACCCTGACTCCGGTTCTGCTTAAAAGGAAGTTTTTCCTTGCCCTTGTCGCCTAGCGCTTGCTCTTGGTGGGAATTGTTGGGTCTCTGTAAATACAAAGAGAAGGTCTAGTGCCTTGAGATAGCTTATGTTGTGAATTGGCGCTATACAAATAAAAACTTGACTTGACTTGACTGCTGTAAGGACTGTAACACTTAAGTTCACCAAAGCACCTGTCTGGACTGTACTGGGTTCTCTTTTACCCTGTGGAAAAAGTCAACCCCCCCCCAATTGTCACTGTATAATTCGCATTCTGCTGACCATTATATAGCTATAATAACTAATGTTTCTCAGGACTCTCATAGATAGGATTATACTGTACATAACAAATTTGCCCTCCTGTTAAAATGACCAGAATTAAGAAAGTTTAAATGGGGTTGTTTGATAGTGGGTACAAGGGATTGCGATGTTTCTGTTAATAGGAAGAGGGACAACAGGCCAACATGCCGACTGAAAAGGAGCCACATGGGTTAAGGGTCATCAAAAAGGGTGGATGGTTGTGTTGCCCCTGTACTTACAACAGACAACAAAGAGAGGACACACCCCTGGACTTCCTGTGACATACGAGAATACACAGACACGGGTGACAGAGAGACAGACAGAGGACACTGGCATAGAAGACAGGTAGACCACAAACACACAGACTAGCCACAAAGAAATCACACGGACAGAGATTCAGACATTCCTACACATGAATACAACGTCCTGTAAGTGCGTGTCGACTCTCCCACAAAGGTATGGTGCTGTGGTAATACTGTGTCAACTTACGATTTGATAGGAGTTTTCTTCTTCTTGGCAGGTTTGTTCTGATTTTGGTCCTCCAGTTCCCCGATGTTGTCATTGTCATTGTCATTGTCATAGTCATTAGATGACAGCTCAAAGGAGGCAGAGGCCTTAGGAGGAGAGTTGGCCATCTTATTGGAGGATTTGAAAGGGTCTATGGAGTCATCAAAGTTATTGGGGTCAAAGCTATAAGACGGCCTGGACAGTTTAGGGGAGCTGGCCATTGTTTTCTTAGAAGTAAATGGGTTGAAATTTGGATCATCCCACTTGTCTGCTTCAAAGTTGTAGTTTACTTTAGGAACAGGGATTTCATCCTCGTTGCCATTATGGGTTGCTGGAGGGTCATTGTCCAGCTGCTGCGTCTGCGCTGGAGGGGCCTTCTTCAGCCCCAGCTTTGGTTTCCTCAGAGGCATCTTGGCACCGGGCTTCTTGCCCACTTTCTTGGGTGGGGGAGAGGCCTGGTGTGATGCCTCGCTGCTCTCCTCAGAGTAGTCAAACTCCAGCCTTACTGACTGACGCTTGGGGATGATCGGTTGCTCTTCAGGGTCTGTGACTGGCTCATCAAGAGGAGCTGTGGGACTGGGGTGACTTGGTTCCACAGCAGGGACCGGTGTACTCTCTATGGGGGTAGCAATGGGGTCGCACACAGGATCTTTACGACCCAGAACAGGGGAGTTGGCAATTTTACTACCTCCAGTTTTGAAAGGGTCGATATTCTCAAAATTATCTGGATCCCATTTGTAGGAGGCACTAGGAGGGATGGGGGATTCGTCTTTGCCAGTTGGACTACCAGGGAGAGGTGTCTCCTCGTGGCACAAGGGTAAAGCAGGTATAACAAGGCTCTCCTCTTGGCAGGTATGATTGGTCTCCTCTGGGAGAGGAGGTGGAGTTTCGACACGGCTCTTCCGGGTCCTTCGGAGAGTTCCTCCAGGGCTCGGGGTTGCAGATCCTGCTTCTGCTTCCTCCTGAGCCTGGAGAGGACTGCCAGTTCGAGGCTTTGCCCGCTTCTTGATCTCCGGGGTGCTGCTAGATGAGGCTGGCCTTGGACTCTCTGGGTTGGAGTTCTGTCTGAGAAGAGGTTTCTTCTTCAGGGACCCTGGACGGACTTTCTTGGGCCTGTGGAGTGTGCCTGGGGCACTCTCAGTGCCTACGCTGAAGGATTCAGAATGTGGTCGGAAACCTCCTGTTGTGGATCCGTCTAACAGACCAGAACTGTCTAGTTCTCCTCCCTGGAGGCTGAGGGAACGAGTCAGTGTGTGACTCGCTGAATCTGGAGCAAAAAGCTCAATGTTGTATGTACCACTGGCTGCAATAGGCTTGTTTTCATCAAAAGTACCGGACGGAGAATGGCGTGGTGGATCAGTTGAAGTCGAGTCAGAGGCAGGATCACTGACTGAGATGTCTGCTACTGCAAAGGATGGAGAGACATATGACATGTAAAGAGGTTTTCTCCAGCTGTTAAAGAGGCAAAATCAAAGCAAAATGAAATCTGAAATGAAATTGATCATATGTTTTAGCTGTTTAGAAGGTGGGTCTGGGTGTGAACAAGAAAGCCTGTATGAAGATAAAAGCTGCAGCTGGTTTCTGACAGATCCAATTATAGAGATGAATGTGCAATAAATAATTCAGTGAATATCTCGGCTGGACAGCAACTCCTGAAAAACATCCACATGAGAGAGAGGGACTGTACTGACTGGTCAGCCTTTCCTAGATATCCCAAAAGCCTCAGTTTTATGCGGTTAAGATGCTTGTCTCAGCAAACAAAGCCAGATGTGAAATACTGCTTCTTTCCACTAGATGGCACAGCAAGACTTTGTTTTACCTGTTCATTTTTAAACCTTACTGCTCAGCTTACAATAGTGTATCAGAGTAATATACTGAGCTAAGCACACATCATGGAAGACCTACTTCTTACTGTACCTGTGTCTTCAGACGTCAGTTGCTGGATCTGGGGATCTGTAGGAGAAACAGCCTTCACTGGAGTTGTAGATTCAGGGGTCTCAAACGCTCCATCAGAGTCTGAGCTCCTTTAACAAAAGAGAAGGGCACACTTAAATCAAGGCTGTTGTGAATCAGACTGACATCACTTTAACTGTAATCCAACTGAATCAGTTGCGAGAGTCACTGACGTCACATGAAGCTGAGCTGAACTTCTCTCCACATCATTTCACAAACGACACATTTATTTCCCAAGTAAGCGCCTCAAATATCAATCGCATCATCAATCATATGACTCAATATTTTGCTGCGTGTATACAGTACATCAAGTATGAATGGCAACGAGATCTATTTCTTGTAATGTGTGTGCATTTCGGTTTCCATTTTCTACTGGACTTCAATGGCTCTGCAGTGAGGTGACAGATAACAGCACATCTGAGACACATCCACATCCACATCCAACACCTATACACACACTATACAAGAGCACCTGAAAGATGTCACAGCCATCAAATAGACAGAGGTTGACCGAGGAAAACATCAAGCCACAAATGGAGAAATGCCTGATTTCTGCATGACAACAGGCTGCAAATAAAAATCCCAGGGTTATCGTCCTAAGCGAGACAATATTGATTTGTCTTCCTCAGCACCATACGCACACACATTTACATATGGTAGCAAAGCTCATCACACAGCTTGACCACGGAGCTCCACGCTCCATTGATTGGTGTATTACGTGACGGTGTCACTCCAGGCTCCCCGTCCCATCTCACCTCTGTCTGACCGGCTCCCCGGCAGCCTTGATCATGCTGTCATGACGTGAGCCCCAGGAGAGACGCCGAAGGAGGCCCAGAGCCGGATCCGAGCCTGGGCTGTCCCCGTCTCCTGCCCCTCCCAGCAGTGTGTCCCAGCCCCAGCGAGCCCACTGCAGTGGAGACAGCGCCTGCCACGCACTCACTGCCATGGCTGCCGGCGGGCTGCACCTCTCCGCACCAGAATGCTACTGCCTGACACACAGGTAGACGCCCACCGCCTCTTTCTAGGCTGATGACTAAGACCACGGGATCTAACCTTCCCTCCTTTCCTCTGCCTTCTCTCCGCCTTTTTCTACTGCCTAATATCCAGCTCTCTTTGTTTCCAATATACAGTCCTTTCCCGCTGCTCCTCTTTGTTATCTGTATCCATATCAGTATGTCTCCACTCCTCCCCAGTAGGAAATGATGTCTCCCAATCTAAATAAGACCGGCTGCAGAAGCCCACCGCCTGCATACTGTATATTCTGACTCTGCCTCACTCTCTCTCTCTCTCTGCCAGCCTTACTCTCTCTTCTCTTCTCCCTCCCTCTACCTTCCTCTCTCTCTCTCTCTCTCTGTCTCTCTCGCTTGCTTCTGAACCAATTTGCTGTATCCACACCGAAGAAAAATCTGTCTGCTGCCCACAAGCCAAACCTGTGCTCATAAAGCTCACTCATTACACACACCACTGATGCATCTGATATATATTTCCTGCCTCCTAATCTCCACTGTAGCGTCCTTCTCTGCATAAATTACTTATCACTGACACACTTCTTGGTCAATGCAAAGACACACCCAGGTTTTGCTCTACATATCCAGGTCATATTCACATGCACACATGCACGCAAGTACATCCACACACACACACACACACACACACACACACACACACACACACACACACACACACACACACACACACACTGAAACTGAAAAAACATGCAGTATCTTTTGCTAATACATGCAAAGATATGGTTGTGTGCAGGTGCAGGAGATGGCCTCTACAACACGTCTTTGGACAGTATCATGAAATGAGTCAAAAGAAGAATGGTGTTGGAAAAACGCAATGCCCAGAGGAAACACTGCCATTATTGTGGACCCCCACAGTTAAATGACAACTCCACGTCTATACAATTTATTGATCTAGCTAATCTATAGGGCTTCACCTCAAGGCAATGTTGAGGCCATTCAGCATCTTGTGGGGCTCCTTTGTCACAGACATGCACAAAATATAGTATCATCAATACAGACAATATGGCCAATGCAACAAAAATTCAGAGCAGAGATAGTATGAGGGGACTGGCAATAAATGTTTTTTGCTGTGATGGACAATATGTCCACTGTCCCTGGGGTTAAATCACAGCAGAGATGGGAGGGTCTCTGATGAATCTGATAAATCAGGCTACACATAAACATTTGACAGCATGAGCATGTTAAAGCTCCAATAGGCTATAAAATGATAAGCAATACCTGTTTGTTACGTTTTACATGCTCAGATCAAAAGCCTTAAACGCAACACCATTGCTTTCAGGGTGCTGTGATGCGTGATTAGACAGCACATGGCTGAGGAGGGAGCCAGAGCTGTAATCTCTGTGAGGACCCTGCGTGTCCCAGCAGGATAAGACTGGTCTGCCTGGAGATCCATCTGGATCAGTCACCGGGAACCAGGATCATATTGTCAGATGGTAAGACAGACAGAGACCACTACTCCAATGACAGGACCCTCACACATAGTGTAATACATGGATAGCAAATAAGCATCCACCATGCCAAGGCAAATGTGTGGAAATGAAACTACTCAACAAATTCTATGAAAAAAAAAGCTGCGTATAAATAGTTATGGTGTTAAGCGTACAAATTAGCAGCTTCTTTGAGAGCGGATGGAAAAATCTCTGAAAACAGTGACATAAGATAATTAGGGCTGATATCAGTGCTCTGTTTAGGACCTTCTTCATGCAACTGCAAACACTATGTTGCTATGGTAACTGGAGGTTGTCCCAACCATATGTTAGCGTGGATGAAAAACAAAAACAACGGAGTGGCTGGATGCAGACAGTCCAACACACACATACACACACACACAACTGAGGCTGTGAAGTGTATTATATGATATAGAGGACAAATAAAGGCACACTGCAAATTCATGAGGCAGGCAGCTGCAGCATCAGCATCATTCTGCTTACATCTCCAGAACTGGTTTAAATACAAAAATAAAAACAGCATCATTTTTTGTTTAATCAACACTTTTAATCCTCCCAGAATGAAGCAAGCAGAATTCAAACGGTGAACAGACATGAAACCATACACTAAATGGAGCATTGTAATTGAAAGTAGACATGAAACAAATGAATAAGGTGAACAAAAATCTATCTGCTGCTTCTGTGTTAATGCAGTCGCATCGTCAGGAGCTCTTACTGTAAGTTACCTCACAGCAGATAAAACATAGAAAGAGGAAAATTAGCGTGTGGGTGAGCAGTCGGGGTACGGGGGAGAATAGAAACAAAGGGAGCAGCAGTTAATAGCAGCCTATCACTGGCTGAAATGACTGCCTGGAGACAGGAACTCTGCAGCGTGAGGCAGGGAGACGCTGCTTTTCAGACAGCCAGACGTGTCTCTGTTCCCAAAGCCAAGTCCAACTCAGCCTGTATAAACAGCTTTAACAGCGCTGGGGGGAGAGCCACCGCCAGCCACAGGGAAGAGGGGGAAACTGGGCTACACTGACATGTAAACCCAACACCACCTGTCCAAAAAATGTTGGCATTGCAAATCAAGATCTGTTCTTTGCAAAAAAAAAAAAAAGCTAAATTTGACGTCACCTCTAAAGAGTGGTCCGGAGGTGACTGTGATTAAATGAGAGCTGATGGAAAAAAAGATGAAGAAGGGATGGATGAATGGCGGCTGGCTGCTGGTCTCTAAGCAGCTGTGTGATTAGCCTCAATGGATTAGCTGCTGTACACTCCGTCTCCATCGTCTCTCAGCTGTCAAACGGCTTTAAACACCCTTCTCTGTCTGGACACCGCGGCTGTCATCTATCTCTTTACCATCCCAGTCCTCCTTTACCTTTAAAATCCTTCGCTTTCCCTCATCTCCTGCTATACCTCTACAGTTCATCATCATCCCTTTTTTTTATCTTCTTCTCATGCAGCGATCCCTTTTTCCCTCAGCTGCTTTGGAGCTTTCGGCTTCAGGTTGATCTGTGATCTGCTGTTAAAGAATAGGTAGAAAAGAAAAGATAGGCTTTCATGCTGCGTCGCATCCTTTGCATTAATACATGTTTTTTTATGAGGGTAAATGTCTGTTTTGTTCGGTATTGTGAAAAGAAGGGAGAGAGCTGTACTGTGTCTGTTTTTCATTACACTCTATAGAATCTATGGTTTTCTATGAGGTAGAGCCGAAGGGACCAACAGAGGGAGCTCCTGTGCTGCTATCCCCCTGAAGAATGAGAGTCAGGATATAAAGTATTACATCATAGCCACTGTACACCCTGTGAATCACCCGAATCACCACAACAGCCTATTATGATTTTACAAGAGCCTCACTAGTTCCTACACAGATGTTATGTGGTGAGCAGGGAGCAGCTTGTAGAGGCTTTGTAATGGGGCAAGAGCACAAAGCAGCTCTGTCCTCTGCATATGATTCTTCGATCTCAGGAAATTAAATCTTATGGAGAATTACTCTGCACTCTCTGCAGGTCATATAAACAGAACCTGTGTTTTTCTCCTCAGATGTCTTGCTGGGTCCGTCTCTCATCTCCATCCAGACTGATGTCAACTTCAATCAGCGAGACACCTCCCCCTCTGGAGTCTGGTATCCCTTTTTGTCCCAAGAAATCTGCTCAGTCCAGCTCCAAAACAAAGAAGCCACTGACACAAAAGACATAAGAGTGTCAGACTAAGATAATCTCTATGTGTAATACCTCATCGAGCCTAATCTGACTGCAAGCAGATGGCACATTAAACAACAACAGGCCAGGTCTGTGAGTCAGAGCACCAGCGGAGCGGGGGTTAAAATGTCTCTCTGTGTTGATGATGAGATCAGACGCTAGGTTAATTCAAATCGCTGCAGGAAGGACATCCCCACCCCCCCACCCCACAAATGCAGACGACAACACACACTGACCACACTGAAACAAAATGAGAATGAAAATAATAAGAATTCCCTCGAGTGTAAACACAATTTTGATCCATTATAACACTTAACACTTCCAGATGCCCTGTGATGCTCCGAGGTGTGAATGCTTTCTGCACTGTAAGTGCTTCTGTGTTACACAACTGTGGGAGTGAACTCGGTAAAAG